ACACCAAGCCAAAGCAATGCCTGGGGACTCACGTTCGAGTGGCACTTACCAATTTGGTGAGCTCAGCTAAGGGAACACTTGCACTTCCCGTGTACTGGCAACCGGTCCTGAGGGTCAGAGGACTCTTGCTCAAAGAAACCACAGCAACTGTTGTTAGGTGGCATCTCTTGTGGCACGTCAGATCATAGAAGTAAACCTTCCTTTCCTGGTTTTTCTTTTTTTTTCTTTTTTTTTTTTCTTTTGAGACCAGATCTTCACTGTGTTGCCCAGGGCTGGAGTGCAGTGGGTGGGCGATCTTAGCTAACTAACAGCCTCACCTTCTGGTTCAAGTGATCTCCTGGCCTCAAGCCTCCCTGAGTAGCTGGGATTACAGGTGTGCACCACCACATCCCGGCCTTAATTTTTGTATTTTTGGTTAAAGAGACAAGGTTAATTTTCTGTATTTTAGTAGAGACAGGGTTAATTTTTGTATTTTTTAGTAGGAGACATGGGTTTTTAACTTTTGGTATTTTTAGTAGAAGACAGGGTTTTCACCATATTGGCCAGGTGGTTTTGAACTCACTTGACCCAAGTGGGATCCGCCCCAACTCAGCCTCCCAAAGTGCTGGGATTACAGGCATGAGCCAACTGCCCGCCTGGGCCAGATTTTTCAATTCGTTATTTAAAGTATGTCTGTATTGTGAGGGGGGCAGCCCAGACCCACAGCTTATATTCCATTCCCGGGATAGGAAGGCACAGTACCGAACCCCCGCACTGGCCAGGAGGACAGACACAGGGCCTCCCGGGCCCATGGTTTCCCCTCCCTGACTCCTGTTACCAGATGTGGAGGGAACCCTTGGCCTACGGTCATGTTCTAACAGTGGGGGAGACTTGGAACCGTCAGTAGAGACAGAAACAGCCCAGGTAAATCAGCCGCAGCAGCTTCTCCCAGTTGTAGGGTCCTCAGCTCCAAGAAATGCTGGGAAGCCTCTTCCACAGCCCACAGGCAAAGCTGCCTCTGAGACCCAGAGACCAAGAGGATTTCAGGAAATGGGGAACAGGGGTCACTAGCCTAAAATACTTGGAAGTATGAGGCATACAAGTGAATGAAATCGCCCAGGGTACAAGGTGAAAGCTAGAAAAGTAGTTTGTCTTCAAGTCAAAAATATTACTGTTTTGTTTTTAAAGCCCTAAAGAACAGGGACTCTCATCAGCTACCAAAACAATGATTCTGCAGTCAAAGATACATTTCAGGCTGAGTGTGGTGGCTCATGCCTCTAATCCCAGTACTTTGGGAGGCTGAGGCGGGCAGATCACCTGAGGTCAGGAGTTCATCAGCCTGGCCAACATGGTAAAAACCCATCAATACGAAAAATACAAAAATTAACTGGGGGTGGTGACACACACCTGTCAACCCAGCTACTTGGGAGGCTGAGGCACAAGAATGGCTTGAACCCAGTAGGCAGAGGCTGTAGTGAGCCGAGATTGTGCCACTGTACTCCAGCTTGCGCAACAGAGTAAGACTCTGTATCAAAAGAAAGAAAGGTGCGGTGGCTCACGCCTGTAATCCCAGCACTTTGGGAGGCCGAGGCGGGCGGATCACGAGGTCAGGAGTTCAAGACCAGCCTGGCCAAAACAGTGAAACCCTGTCTCTACTAAAAATACAAAAATTAGCTGGGCGTGGTGGCGGGCACCTGTAGTCCTGGTTACTTGGGAGGCTGAGGCAGGAGAATTGCTTGAACCCGGGAGGTGGAGGTTGCAGTGAGTCGAGATCGCACCACTGCACTCCAGCCTGGGTGACAGAACAAGACTCTTGTCTCAAGAAAAAAAAAAGAAAGAAAGGAAGAGATCTTAACGGAATCCTTTCTCTTCCTTAGGAGCCTTAGCTCCCATGGCAGCAGCCCAGAGCAAAAGGAATTTTGAAAAATGATTTAGTCCAATCCCTCAGTGCTTCAGGCAGAAGAGAGCAGTACAATTGTCTTTAAAAATCACCACCTCAATACCCAAGAGAAAAGAGGTCCCACTGCCTTACCCAGTAGCCCATTATGAGTCAGGAAGTTGTTTTTTGGATATAACCCAGTTCTTCCCTACTTTGATTTAGGTGACTTTCCTACTGAGGACACTAGATAGCATCTCTGGTGAAAGCAACTAGCCACCTCCCTTGACGCATCAGCTGGGTACAGGGTCATTAAGAGAGGTGGGAAATTATCCATAGTCCTTCAAGTTTTAGTTTTCTTTTCCTGTGAGTCTTTTTTTTTTAATGTAAAAGTTGGTTCTAATAAAAACATGTAATTAGATAATTACCTTTATTATCATTTATTGGTTTCATTGCATGGTTTCCGACATCATCATTGTGACCTAGTTGAAAAATAACAAGTAGGATGAGTGACAAGGGAAATTCTAGTTTTCTAAAACCTTTTAAAAATTCAGTGCCCCCAACAAAGTCAAGTCTGATTTATTCAGTGTAGTGACAGTCAGCATTGTTTCTGAGTCCTGGGTCCCCTCGTTGGTCTCCCTGTGGCCTCCATTTGACCTACTGTGTAGTCTTTTTCTTTTTTTTTTTTTGAGACGATGTCTTGCTCTGTTACACAGGCTGGAGTGCAGTGGTGCGATCTTGGCTCACTGAAGCCTCTTCCTCCTGGGTTCCAGCAATTCTCCTGCCTCAGCCTCCTGGGTAGCTGGGATTATAGGAGCGCACCACCACACCCGGCTGATTTTTGTATTTTTAGTAGAGTTGGGATTTCACCATGTTGGCCAGGCTGGTCTCAAACTCCTGACCTCATGTGATCTGCCCTCCTTGACCTCCCAAAGTGCTGGGATTACAGTCGTGAGCCACCGTGCCAGGCCTGTGTGGTCTTTTTCTAACACTGGTGGGACGTCTACCATCCCATGGCAGAGGCACTTCTGTTTGTGAACTATTTGGAATTCAGAATTGTTCAATGTGAGCAAGTTCATGAGAAATTCTGGAAGGGACCAGCTAGTACTCATAAACATGAAGGACATTAGTTAATTAAGCCTGTCTAGTTGGAGAACTGGATTGATGAAAACATAGTTTAAAGAAATAGCAGTATCTCCAGGTTATCATCTCAGTGGGCATGGACAAAGACCACTTTTGTCTTTTTTTTTTTATTAAGTTGTCCTTTATTACAAAGAATTCTTACAAATGTCACAAATACTATTCTTGAATACACGGTTTTCCATCATGTATTTGAATTAATTACTATCATAATTATTAAAATATATTTATAAATTGAAATAATCTATGCAGAGATGATATAATAAGAATTGGAGTATTTGGAAATTTGGAGAAAAATCTTATTTTCATATAAACCTATATCAACATTTAATTTAGTTAAATGTTGTACTTATATATAAATAATACAAATCACCGACAGAAGCCCCTTATGCCAAAAAGGTATTATTTTTTCTGTAGCAGTAGATTACTTTTTGGTAAATATTTACCTCTTTTTTTTTTTTTTTAAGAGATGGGGGGGTCTCGTTTTGTTGCACAGGCTGGTCTTGAACTCCTGGCCTCAAGTGATCCTCCCACCTCAGCTTCCCAAAGAGCTGGGATTATAGGCATAAACTACCATGCCTGGCCTGAATATAGTTCCTTCCTTCCTTCCTTCCTTCCTTCCTTCCTTCCTTCCTTCCTTCCTTCCTTCCTTCCTTTTTCTTTCTTTGAGATGGAGTTTCACTCTTGTTGCTCAGGCTGGAGTGCAATGTTGTGATCTCAGGTCACTGCAACCTCCACCTCCCAGGTTCAAGCGATTCTCCTGCCTCAGCCTCCTGAGTAGCTGGGATTACAAGCATGCACACCATGCCTGGCTAATTTTTTGCATTTCTAGTAGAGACAGGGTTACACCATGTTGGCCAGGGTGGTTTTAAACTCCTGACCTCAAGTGATCCACCTGCCTCGGCCTCCCAAAGTGTTGAAATTACAGGCATGAGCCACCACGCACAGACTAGAATATAGTTTCTTAAACAATATATTTGCCCTTTTCTATTTACTGACACACTACTTTTATTACTACAAATATTTTATTTTCCTTTTTTAAAGTTTATGACTCAGTACTATATGAATTACTCAATTCTTAAAACATATTTCTCAAGCAAAATATGTCTCTGTGAAAGGTATATCCTAAAAATTTCTTATTTTGTGAGATACTTATAGAATTAGAAAAGAACGTGAGCATTCTCTGACCAAACCTGCTGCTAAAGCAATAAAAGTGGCTGGGCTCAGCGGCTCACACCCGTAATCCAGTACTTTGGGAGGCCAAGGCAGAAGGATTGCTTAAGCCCAGGAGTCTGAAACTAGTGGATTGTAGAGTGCCATCTCTACAAAAAATAAAAATTAGCTGGGCATGGTGGTGCATGCCTGTGATCCCAGCTACTCCGGAGGTTGAGATGGGAGGATCACCTCAGCCTGGGAGGTAGAGGCTGCAGTGAGGTGAGATTGCACCACTGCAGGCCTAGGAAGACCCTGTGAAAGGAAAGAAAGGAAGGGAAGGGGAGGGGAGGAAGGGGAAGGGAAGGAAGGGAAGGAAGGGAAGGGAAAGGAAGGAAGGAAGGGAAACGAAGAACAGGAAAAGGAAGGAAGGAAGGAAGGAAGGAAGGAAGGAAGGAAGGAAGGGAGGAAGGAAAGAAAGAGAAGAAAGAAGGGAAGAAAGAAAGAAGGAAAGAAGGAAGGAAGGAAGAAAGAAAAGAGGAAGAGTGTTCCAAATTTGGTCTGGGACAGGACTTTTTGTGTGATGTAATTATAGCCCCCTCTGGGAAGTAAGTAGCGTCCCTGCTGAAATGCTTGAGCAATTTTCTTACTAAGCTGGGATTAAGAACTCCTAGGACTGGCTATCATTCAGCTGAGCTGACCCTGATGCTAGTGATGAGCCTTATGACTAGATATTTCTTAATTGGAACACTTTTTTTTTATGCCTCTACTAAGAGAATATTGAAATTGCTTTCCCTTTGTGGCAAATTTGAAGGAAAACTGTCTTGTGTTTGTAATACTTCCATCTAAGAAGATGTTTTACCAGTGTTTTCATTCAATATCTGGTCTCTGTCTTGAAAATGGAGAATGATAATATTATGCTGGAACAATGTCAAAGTCTTTGAAGGTAACAAGGCGTTATGATTATTCTCCATCTTTCATCTACGGGGAGTTTAGAAGGTGGCGAAGTTAGAATAAAATGTGCTACCTTTCCTTTTACGTTTCTGTATATTAGCTCATGGCCCAGTGGCTGATGAGATGAAGTACCCTGTTGAAGCCAGGGTTTCTCTTCCAACTGCATTCCCACCACTTACAAATTCTGCTTCTGAGAGGGATAAGGAAGTATGCAGCAAGCTGGGGAAAATTAGCAATGGCAGGAGACCGTGACTTTACCGTAGTGACTGTTAGCTTCCATACTGGGATCTGACATTTTCTCGTTGTTGGAGTTCAGAAGTGGTACTGCGGGCCTTAAAATGAAATATAAAAAGGGAAAACAACATATAGATATATTTCTTGTTGTTATTCTAACCCCAAACCAATGAAGTAATCAAAGGAAGATCATGAGAAAACCAGGAAGAGTTTTCCAAGGTAAGGAAAACTTAACTCACTCTCTCATTTGGAAAACTAATATTTTTTGGTAGCTCCAAGGATTATGTGAAAAAACTTTTTTTTTTTTTTTAGACAGAGTCTCACTCTGTCGTCCAGGCTGGAGTGCAGCAGTGCAATCTTGCCTCACTGCAGCCTCCACCTCCTGGGTTCAAGTGATTCTCATGCCTCAGCCTCCCAAGTAGCTGGGATTTCAGGAGTGCACCACCATGCCTGGTTACTTTTTGTATTTTTAGTAGAGATGGAGTTTCACCATGTTGGCCAGGCGGGTCTTGAACTCCTGACCTCAGGTGATCTGCCCGCCTTGGCATCCCAAGGTGCTGGGATTACAGGCGCGAGCCACCGTGCTTGGCAGTGATAAAACTTTTTCCTATTAAAATAAGTATCAGGACCAAAGGGGACATGAATACCAGGAGTCCTTCACAGGCTACTCCCAAGCCCCTGAATTCCTTATGCTGTGCTACTGTTTCTCTCTGGAACAGAGCAATCATTTCTATACTTTTGGATTTCAGATTTCAGGAACTGTAAAGGTAGTAAAACTATTTTTTAAATGCCAACTCTATTTTGCCAAATTAAAAAAAATCATCTATTACCATTATAATTTCATAAGGAAAAGGAGATTTCACAAATAATCATGTAGGAAGGACATGATCTCAGAATAAAAGCCATTCCTCCCCATGAAAGGACAATTGGCAACCTTCCACTGAGATATGCGCACGCGTGCGCGCGTATACACACACACACACACACACACACACACACAAAACTCACACCCAAGGAAGGCCTATATTTTTCTGAGTTTGCCAGAGCCACTGAAAACTTCCTAATGACCAGAACCTCGCTTCAGACATGTCCACTGTGCTCACAGAGCAGCCGCCCCCTTCTTACAACTACACTCACCTGGACATTTCCACTGGCATCTGCTTGGCTTTAAAAAAGAAAAAGAAAAATCAAAGTCAGTATATGGTGCCCACCTCCATACTACTCTAATGGCCAAAACGCCAATTACTTTTGCACTAACCTAATAGATAGAAAACACTTTCTTTTCTTTCTTTTACTCCTAGTAAGCTGTGAAGGAACACTCTTTTCAACTACATTTGACTTTCCAGAAGATTGAATACCCAGAAAAAGAGAGAAAAGGAAGCCAAACATATTCACTCTTTTACAAAAGACAGAAAAGAAAGAGGTATTGGTTTTATATCAAGATATTTCCCCAGAAACATGATCTCTTGACTATTTTAGCCAGAAGTGATTTTTGTTAGTGAAATGCGATGGAAAAAGAGACAATGATACAGGAATCAGATCAGCCAGATAAGCAGGCAGCTCTCTCCCTCTCTTTCTCTCTCTCTCTCTTTTTGAGACAGAGTCTTGCTCTGTTGCCCAGGCCGGAGTACAGTGGTATGATCTGGGCTCACTGGGTTCAAGGGATTCTCCTGCCTCAGCCTCCCGAGTAGCTGCGATTACAGGCGCCCATCACCACGTCTGGCCAATTTTTGTATTTTTAGTAGAGATCGGGGTTTCGCCATGTTGTCCCAACTAGTCTTGAACTCTTGACCTCAAGTGATCCACCTGCCTTGGCTCCCAAAGTGCTGGAATTACAGGTGTGAGCCACCGTGCCTGACCACTCTCTTTGATTCCAGATAATTACAAAAAGTAAAGGCCAAATCAATCCCTGCACTTGGAACTCGAAGCTGGCCTGAGACCAATGAGAGGGTGTTGCTCTGTCTTCCCTGATGGGTAGCAGCTTTCCTGACAAAACCCAGGGCCCCTCCTCATCCCATCTGCCCCTCCCATCCTAGGCAGCAGCACCAGAGGCTCCAAAAGAACCTACCTTATCCCACAACAAAAAATTTTTTGCAGAATTTACTGATGCTCTGCCCTTTTCCTTGAGTCTTGGACAGCTGACTCTGATTCCTGGTTATTGAGTGGTCCTGGCTGCTCAGCTGGGCTTATTTAGCTAACCCCAAGCATAGGGTAGAAGTCATAGCACAACTGCCAGGTTAACTACTAAGCAATCAATGTGTGTGTGTAACATGTGGGTGTTATGCGCATGTATGTGTCTCCAAGACGCTTGCATCCCACTCTGCATGCATTACAGGACTAGGTGTGGACAAATCTACAGAAATGGCTTCTTCTAACCACATGAAGATGCAATTTCCCCCAAAATTTATCTTTTCTGGTTTGCCCAACGAGGAAAGTAATAGCTTTCATTTTTGCCTAGCTGAATCCAGGGGTCGGAAAAGCACCACGTATCCCTGGCTGGTTTCCTGGCAAGGACAACCAGTCAGTATGGAAGGAAAGAACTATGCTCACCCTTGGCTTTCCTCAGAAAATAACATTTGGCCCCAATGATCAAGAAAGCAATGATCACTCCGATGACAACCACTGCAATAAGTCCTTTCTTCCATGCGGCAAGAACGACTGAAAAACAAAACAAAAAAAAATTTTTTTTTTTTTATATAGGCTCTTCCTCTACCAGGAAGACATAACATCAGGCTTAAGCAACAAAAGTCAGACTGATTCTCACAGCTCTTGTAACTGGCAGCTTGCCAGATACCTCTGAGGGATTCTGCACTCAGAGCTGGTGCAGAAATGATTGTTTCTGCTACAAATAGAGGTCAGCTCTGGTCCTCAAGGAGGGAACAAACCAGCTTTGCTGGGGTAGACTTTTTTTTCTTTCTTTTTTGAAACAGGGTCTCACTCTGTCACCCAGGCTAGAGGCTGATCACAGCTCACTGCAGCCTCAACTTCCTGGGCTTGAGCAATCTTCCCACCTCAGCCTCCTGAGTAGCTGGGACTACAGGAGCACACTACCACACTCGGCTATTTTTTGTTGGTTTGATTTTTGAGGCAGAGTCTTGCTCTGTTGCCCAGGCTGGAGTGCAGTGGGGCAACCTCTGCTTACTGCAACCTCTGCCTTCTGGGTTCAAGTGTTTCTCATGTCTCAGCCTCCCAAGTAGCTGGGATTACAGGTATCAGCCACTGTGCCCAGCCTATTTTTGTACTTTTCGTAGAGACAGGGTTTCACCATGCTGCCCAGGCTGGTCTCCAATTCCAGGGCCCAAGTGGAGTAGACTCCTTTTTGGCGTGTATGTTCAGTCCTCTTCCTCTCCAGGAAACCACCCCCACCCACATAAGTGGGCTCCCCAACCATGTCTGTTCTGCGTGACCCAATCCACTTGGCCACAGGTGATCTGTGGGTAGATGTCTGACCCAAGGTGACTCAATGGTGAGTCTTCCAAGAATTTGTAATTGGAACAATGTGACATTCTTCCAATTCCTTATAATAATCAATTCCTCATAATAATCAATTCCTCTTTTTTACTTAATTCTAGTGGGTTTCTGTCACTTGCAACCAAGAGCCTGGAGGACATTAAGTCTCCTAGCCTTCAGTCACAAGAGCTAAACTCCCCCCAACTCCCTCTTACAAGGGGTGTGTTTTCTGGTCTTGCCCTTGGGAGCCCACAGCACAGCTTGCTGTGGAGACCCTGACTCACCTCTGACTGTCAGTATTTTGCTTCTGGGGACACTGGAGGCATGGTTGGCTCTGTTGAAGGCTGTGCAGTAATACTCCCCCTCCTGCTCCTTGCTAGCCTTCGGCTTGGTCCAAAATTCCTGGGTGGCATTCAAGGTCCTTTGGTGGAAGGGTTTGCCTTCCTTTTCCCTGTAAAACCTATAGGTGATGGGACCAGATCCTTCATTCACGGCGCATTGCAGCACAATGTCCTCTCCAGACTCCACAACCTTATTTGACAGGATAGAAATCTGGACCTCATCCACTGGGGCTGAAAAAGCAGGAAAAGGATTCACACTGAGCAAAGAAGGGCAGAGGAAGAGGAACATGAGACAGCCACCACTCAACTTTTTTTTTTTTTTCCTCTGAGACAGAGTCCCACTCTTGTCACCCAGGCTGGAGTGCAGTGACGTAATCTCGGCTTACTGCAACCTCTGCCTCCTGGGTTCAAGCAAATCTCCTGCCTCAGCCTCCCGAATAGCTGGAATGACAAGTGCGCACCACCAGGCCCAGCTAACTTTTTGGATTTTGTTGTTGTTGTTGTTGTTGTTTTAGAGATGGGGTTTTGCCCTGTTGGCCAGGCTGGTCTTGAACTCCTGACCTCAAGTGATTTGCCCACCTCAGCCTTCCAAAAGACTGGGATTACAGGCATGAGACACCGTGCCAGGCCACAAACAATCTTGACCCACTGCCTTCTCTAGCTATCGGCCATTTTTTCTCCTTTTTCCTTTATGCTTTGACACCCTTATTTCCCACTTTCTTGTTACCCCTGAAATCTGACTGCACTCTTGTGTAGTCATGATCTTGTGACACTGCACTCTATCTCAAGTTTTGAAGAAACTGGGAAGGTCACCTGATTCCCCAACCAATGTCCCTGAGTCCCCTGCAGATTAAATTCAGTGGTAGATGCTCTTCCTCCAGGCTTCCAACCTCGGGCTCTCCACAGCTTTGCTGCTGCCCAGGTCTTACTGTGGAACTCAGCTTTTTCTGGGCTTCTGGGCTTCCTCATGACTCTGATTCTCTTCCTTTCTTACCTGGCACCCCTTTCTTATTCACTGGTTATTCTTTGTTTTGCCCTGAAGTATGAACTTTTTGCAAAATTCAGTCCTCCATTTTCCGTCCCCATTCTCCTCCTGGGTGATTTCATCTACATGCAGAGCTTCTGTCTCCGAGCCACTGATGCCTAAACCTATGGCTCCAGTCCAAGTTACTTTCCTGAACTCCAAGTTTCCCTTTTCACCTGGGCATTTCCACCTGGAAGCCCAGCCAGTCTCCCTCCCTGTAGGTCCAAGCGGAACTCGGCTACCTCCTGGATCTGCTTTTCCTAGCTCCATCCTCAACTACCAAAATTCGGATCCTAAATTGTCTTCCCAAGTAGACTTTCCTTCTAGTGTGAGAGCAGATGGTCAGCAGATGGTATTGTGACTTATGAGTCACTCTGCTGTGAGTGCAGGCTGTGGTAAGACAATGGAAGAAGCCACACTCCGGGCCTGGGACACCAGTGGGCTCAAATCCCAGTCCTACCACCCACCAGCTATCTGCCCTAAGCCTCACCTGTGTCATGATAGAACAATGACAATGCTATTACTGGTCTTCTGCGGTTATTGTGAGTTTCCATTGGAGCAATTTACTACAGTACTTCACACAGGGTTGCACACATGGTCAGTAAATGTGAGCCACGAATATCGACCCAGTTTAAACCAACAGCTTCATATGGGCTTCTGCATTAGCCTCTAACGTGCCATGAGGTCTGAAGTCCCCATGTCTGCTCCCTGACCCAGCCACCAGGTGGATCTTTCCGAGAACTCATTTGCATCCTGTCCTTCCTTCCATCTTTTGGCTTTTCACTGTACGCAGGACAGTTCCCTACTCCTGAGACTGGCACCTGACGCCCTTCACACTTAGGCTCACCCACTTTTTCAACTCATATCCAGCGATTCTCCATTCCCAACGTCCAGCCTTTGTTTCCAGCCATCTGATTTGGCCACAGTCCTTTTTTTTTTTTTTTTTTT